AATGAAAGAGATAGAAGTAAATAAATCAGTTCGTAAATTTAACAAAACTAACGATTGCGGGGTAACTGCCTGAACATTTTAAAACAAATAACAGACTACGTCCTTTCTCCTGTTTACGGTTTTATCTAGCTCTGGAAAAAGTAATATGCATGTCATAAATCGCCATTACTGATTTAATACATAACAAATAACTGCAAATCCTTGCTTATGTTGACGATATCACTATTTATTGGAGAACGTAAAACGCTCTAAGAGAGGTGTAAGTAGCAATAATAATTGGCTACAAAAATGGGTTTAATAATAAACACCAACAAAAAGAGCAGACAAAATGTGAAGAAAAGAAAAAAGCCTTTTTACAATTTAGAACACAACAAACACAACAGGTTACAACAGTATACAACCACTATAAACGAATCAGAAATGAAACGAATACTTTAGTTAGACAAATAAAAAAAGAAACACTGGCAGAGTTTTTTAAAAGAGATGGAACACGACTTCTATGAAACTCAAAAAGATTTATGGAGAATGATCAGAGAACAAAGAAAAGAGATAAACAAATTAAAAAAAATGAAACACATTTAGAAGGAAACATGGGAAAACTACTTTGAGCCCCTATTTGCTAAAGGTGACGATGATGAACCACCCACACCAGAGGTGACGACGAACGAAGAAATAAATATTGAGGAGGAAGAGGTAAAGGAAGTATTAAGGAAATTAAAAAATAAGAAATCACCAGGAGACGACAGAATACTAAACGAACTCCTAAAGTACGGAGGACCAGATCTCACCATTATCCAAACTATCAATCTGAAACAACTATTAAAACTAATCCAAAAAATAATAGAACACAACAGAATTCCTTAAGAATGAAGATCAAGCATCCTAATACCTCTCTTCAAAAAGGGAGACAAATCGGACCCGGAAAATTACAGAGGAATTAATTTATTAAAATCAACACTAAAATTAACAACCAAAGTAATAAATAACAAATAAATTGAATGAAATTATAACACTAGCAGAAGACCAACAAGGTTTTAGGTTAGGAAGATTATGGACCGACGCTATATTTTTAATGAGGAAAGTGCAAGATAAACCATTAGAATACAACAAACTGGCATATGTATCGTGGACCTTACAAAGGCATTTGACCGGGCTTAAAGCATTAAAAGACGTTATCCACTTACTGTATGCAAGAGAGATACCTCTAGGAATAATCAAAACAATCGAAAATATCTATCTTACAATAAAAGTAAAAGTAGAAAAAGAACTAACCGACGCTATTGAAGGTGGCAATGGAGTAAGACAGGCTTGTTCAACATGATTATGGATAAAATAATAAAAAAGTAAGAAGTAAAAAAGGATACCCAATAGGAGAAAAACAATTTAAAATAATCTGCTATGCAGACGAGGCAATACTACTCTTTCAAAGTAAAGATGATTTACAACGTATGCTGCACCAATAACTGCCAGAAAATTTAACATGTCAATTTCCTCAAAAAAGACATGGTTACAACAGCAAATTTACTAACATGTAAATTGAAGCTAGAAGGTCAAGGTTAAATATCTAGGCTAGGCTATCACATTATCTAGCTACGGAAAGCTCGAAACCGAAGCAAAAGATCAAGTAAATAGAGCAAAACGAACCGCAAGCTGCCTTAATGAAACAATATGGAGAAATAAAAATATCGGGAAAAAAACGAAAGGCAGAATTTACAAAACAGTCATCGGACTAATGATGACATACGCGGCAGAAACAAGACCTTACACAGAGAAAACAAAAAGGATGTTAGAAACAGCAGAGATGAAAAATTAATAAAACACTATGGCACAGAGCTATAAGTACAGATATACGACGTAGATGCAAGATGGAGAACATTAAGAACTGGGTAAGAAATAGAAGAGTAGAATGGAACGATCTTATAAGCCGAGTGACAACAAATAAAGTAGAAGGCAAGAGACTGTTCTCCAATAGGAAGACGATTACTAGGAAGACCATGAACACGATGGAATGACAACTTACTGGAGGAACATTGAAAAACAGACAGAGTCACGTCTATATGAAAAAGAAGAAGAAGAACAACAAAAAGAGCATGAAAATAAACAAGCCATCACAAATCCTATGACCACTCGTTGTAGAAAAGGACGCCATCAAACGTCGACGACGATAGATATTACTGAAGAGAAATTCTTGAGGAGGCTATAATCCACACATAGTTGTTAAGCAATAACGATGATGATAACGGTAATTGACAAAAACAAATAAGAAAAAGATTCGCTATAAAGATTAAAAACACAAAAATGATGCTTGCCATGACACTATATTTCTCATTGTCACCTACGCTGCAGAGTCATGGACGATGAAATCTGCAGAGATGAAACAAATCGATGTTTTCGAAATGTTAGCTTGTAGAGAAATGTAATGATAATATAGACTTAAACTCGGACCAATGTCTCAATCTAGCATAAGTTGACATCATTGACCGACTAAGTAAAATTATTCAGAAGAATATAATATTTTTTAACCAAAATATAAGAAAGAATATCGATCTATTCGAAAAACTAGTAGTGCAGGGAAAAGTTGAAGGGTAAAGACACAGAGAAAGATCACATACATGATTTGTTGATAAAAAGTCACACATGTATGCATCTTTGTGTTTAAATTCATTAAAACGACTTAAAATTGAGATGAGTGGCATAAAAGAATACATATAAATAGACCTGTATCATAAGTCTGGATGCTCATACGCCAGCGAATAACTACGAAGAAGAAAAAGAATTGATTTTGAGATACACAAAGCTACCACAGGATTGATACTTATGTATAATTGTACCTATTTACAAGATAAAACGATTGTGACAAATACAGAGAAATTAGTCCCCTAAATATGTTTATTAAACGAGATAAAACTGGAGAGATTGATAGTGAAAACTGGACAATCAAGACGAAGAATTTGAAGGAATGGAGACTGACACTTGGAGAGACCAACTCCCACAACGAGTTGGATAGTTAAGCTTCACTTATGTATTCATAAAGTATATTTGGTCATCAACGAAATTGTTTTCTACTTTTCTATTTCTGACAAAAAGTAACACTTGTAAACTTAAAAACCTAAAACGAATAAATTACTATTTTTAAGTAACAATAAAACACTGAAAACTTTGTTTTCAAACTTCCACAAAATTTATTTTAAATCTTATCACTACAGCTGTTTCGGCTAATTGCCTTTTTCAAGTGATATACTTTGGCTTGGGTTTACAAATTTATAGTCTCTAATGAAATAGGTTGAGGAGGGGAGAACTGTTTGTCTCAAGTTGGTCATTCAGAATTATATCTGTGCTTTTTAATTTGTTGATTTCCATAGATTCTAACAAAGATAGCTTAAAGCCTTTATTTTGAATCTGAAGGATTTTAAATTTGTCATTAAAAGAATGATTATGATCTAGAAGGTGAAGTGCGTATGTCGAATCTGTTTTTCTATTTTTGAAAGCCCTTTTATGTTCTGCTATTCGTTTATCAAAGTTTCTACTAGTTTGACCGATGTAAGGATTTTTGCAGTCGCCACATTGAAGTTTGTACACACCACTATTTAAGTGTTTTTTATTTTTGCTCTTGTTATTTTTAATATACTTGCCTAGGTTGTTATTTGTTCGGAAAGCTGGTGTTATTTCTTTCTTTTTTATGTGTTTGTCAATTTTTGTTGTTATTTTGCCTGTATATGTAATCGAGCAGAAGGTACTGGGTTTTTTCTCTGGTGGTGGAAATACTAATTTCAGGGCTTTCTTGTGTAGTTTTTGACTTAACATTTTATTAATTGTTTGTTCGTTGTATCCGTTGTTTACTGCTATTTGCTCAATTATATTTAATTCTGTCTCAAAGTTGTATTTTGACATCGGAATTTCTGTTAATCTATGTAACATACTATGATAAGCTGCCAGTTTATGTTGTGTTGGATGGGATGATAAATTGTGTATAGTCGTGTCAGTATGGGTAGGTTTATGAAATATGGAGAAGTCATGTTTGTTTTGAAGTCTGCTAATTTTTATATCTAAAAAATTTATGTATTGATTTTGTTCTGTTTCTATTGTAAATTCAAAATGACTATGAAGTGAATTAATATAAGATAAAAATTGGTCGAGTTGTCTGTTAGTTCCAGTGAAACATACCAGTACGTCGTCTACGTATCTCCACCAATATAAAAACTGTTTGAATACGGGATGTTTTGAAATATTTGTATCTAGATGATCCATAAAAATATCTGATAGCAATGGGCTTAGAGGATTACCCATTCTAAGTCCTGCACTGTTATTTCTATATATTTTATTATTAAATTCAAAGTAGTCCTGGTTTATGCAAACTTCAAGAAGATGTAAAATTTCAGATGTAATTATTGGATTTGTACTATTTTGGTCTAAAAGGTCTTTTACTAGAATAAAAGTTTCTGTAGGAGGGATACTAGGAAAAAGATTTTCTACGTCAAATGAAATTAATCTGGAGTTGTTAGGTAATTGAAAATGTTGTATTTTATTAACTAGTTCTATTGTATTTTTTATGGTAAATTTAGGTGAAAATTTAGTGTGTTCTAAAATACAGGTCCGTCATATAAACTTTCAAAAAAACTGTTAGAGATAGAGATTTAAAATAAATTTTGTGGAAGTTTGAAAACAAAATTTTCAGTACATAAAATGAATTTCCATTAAGTAACGGTCGAATCCATCAATTACTATTTTTAATGTAATTCAACTATGTGCTAATAAAACAATAAAAAAAATAAAAAATCATAAAAATTAAAGAAACTGACAAAAAAGCCGCAATCGAAAATATATCAAAAACATAATTAATCTATATATTTTTTGATAACTGATCGTTTTTTGGCACTTTAAGTCTTTTTAATACCAACGGCTCATACTAAGTTTTAATCATTAAAGTGTGCCGTATTATTCACCTTAATTTGTTTAATCCAACTCTGTAGTAATAAATTAATTTAGCAGTGTATAAATATCACAAATTTGTTCTGTTTAGTTAAATAATTGTGCGTGTATGCGAGAAGAAAGATGATACCTCCCACATGTATATCGATTTTATCGTTGGTATGCTCGATAATTATTGGCATCGAGGGTGGAATCCTCTATCCAAGGGCATCAAAAACGAGAGACCTTCAGTATTTGGATGGATTGTGGCATTTTTCTTTAAATGCCAGTGCCTCTAGCCAGGAACTTTCAGTAAGTAAATAAATAATGATCAGAGCATTGCCATGATCCATTTTAATTGAGTATTGGGGCTTACGTTGCCGATCACTTTTTTTTTTTAATTTATAAAACCTACAGAAAAAGCCGATACAGCATATATGGATACAGGGCAAGAAAATAATGATGCACAACTAAAAGGGATAAATATGGTGATGGTTTATACTTAATACAATTTATTTCTTTTTAGGGCAATCCTAATGACAAAGACATTTATTTAATGCCAGTACCGTCGAGCTATAACGATATTCTTACCAGCAGTGAAGGCAGAGATCACCTAGGGCCGGTAGTGTACCAAAAAAGGTTTTTTTCGCCAAGCACTTGGACAAGAGAAAAAAGAAGAATTTGGTTAAGGTTTGGTTCTGTGTGTTATTCTGCAAAAGTTGTAAGTATTTTCTTCTTCCTATTCGTATTCACTTCAGTATCTAAGTATTTGTGGACTGTTTCAGCATTAAACTGTGGTGTATAATTTAGTACATATTTGTTTAGTTAGTCGATGTTCATCGATTCTGTTGATAAGTTATTTTCATTTTGTTTTGTAGAGGAAAGGATGCAAATATGGGCTACCCATTTTGTATTTCTTTGTAAAAAAAGAATAAAAATTCTATTTCAATTCCAAAGGTACGCAAGAATACCTATATTTAGTTACTTATAACCTGCCCAAAGTTCAAATTGATTAAAAAATATATAACTGTTTTAAACATACAAATAATGAAAAATTGTACTTTTGCGTTGTTTGAATATTGATCCTAAATATGGGCTACCCCGAAAAATATGTCTTAAATTTTTGTGAAATGAGATAAATGCGTGAAAAATATATTTTAATACCTAAAATACAAACAATATACCAAATAACTCATAGACAATGACGTGTGCGTTTCTTTTTTTACTGGCAGAAAATCTATTTGCAAAAGTCACACACATATTCTTCTTTTTCGGCCCCAGCGCACTCGTTATGTGCCCACAAATGGCACATGAAGCACTTGACCCATATTTCACCAAGAATATCCTCTGAAAAAAGGGCTTCGCAAAACATACACGTTCCGTCACCTGCGTCTTGTGTAGGCTGTGCAGAAGGAAACTCATTGTAATCGCTCTCATCATCTACAGGCACATATTCCTCTTCATCCCCGCTACTAGAACCCGATTTCTTTTTTTGGTTCTTTGTGACTTTGATAACCTGCTTACGTTTTCCTTTTTTTTATTTCTTTTCCTTTTCTTTTTTCTTTGCCTTTTCTTACTTCGTTTTGCTTCCCTTTGTCTTTGTTGAGAGATTGGATCAGTTCATTTTTGTATGGTGAAGAGGTTATCACTGAACACTTACTTGGCTTACGCCCACGATTGGAGGTTTTTTTTCTTCAATAATGGCACAGCAGAAATATCATATGGTGTTGTCAGAGATGTTCTTGAAGACCCAGATGTGGAAGGAATTGATGAAATGGGCTTATTCTCAAATAATTTTCTTTTTACACCAAGCTCTGCACAAGGTCTTCCGGAAGGCGTGGCAGACTTTCTGTAAAAGCTTGTTGTGGGAACAGCGACAAGCTGTGAACTAGTTGCAGAAATAGCATTAAACTGTGTGTTACTTGTAGGAATAGTTTTAAGCTGTTTATTAGGCCCAGATGGAAGAGTGGGAGAATTAGATGATACATTATTGTGGCTGGAACGACAATCTGGTGTGCTCTCAAACGATCACCTTATTATCATCATCACTCGCATCATCAGGTACAGCTGTCACAGTATTTTCTGCTTCAATTTCAGCTGCCATGAAATCAACATCTGTAAATATGTTTTTATTCAAGGGATAAATCCCTGTAGCTCTTAATCCATTAACAGCAATCTCTCCAGTTTGGCATTTCAAATAAGCTCTCCCAAAGAGCTCTAACACATCAATTGCACTTAGTGGACGATTATTGTGGCGCAACCAGACCCGGATCTCTTCGCTGTAGTAAGCCTTAAGAACACCCATTTAAGTTTTGTCCAATGGCTGGAGTTTGTGGGTGCAATGGGGAGGCAAGACAATTATAATGACATGATTATCTCTAGCTAAATCTATGACATCTATATTACGTGTATGGCTGTAATAATGACCATCGATAATAAGCAGGATTGGTGTTTTTTTTGTGGGTTTCACTGTGTCAATGAAATGTTGAAACCATCTTGTAAAAATATTGCTTTGTATCCATCCACTGGGATGTACTGCCATGGTGGAACCTGGAGGAGCTCCTTTCATTAGTTGCTGGTTAACATTTTTACGTGGGAATATCATCATTGGTGGGATGAATTGGCCAGCAGCGCTCATCGACGTCACGTTGGTTATCAGAGAGCCCCTTTCAGCAGAAGTTAATGATGCAATTTGTAGTTTCCCTTTTCGGCCTACTACCTGTGCAATCTTGTTTTGTACAACCGTAAGACCTGTCCCGTCCACTTTGAAAATACATTCAGGTGGGTAAAATTGTTTGTTATATTCTGTTTCCAGAACATTGATAAATGATGCGACATTTTCTTTGTTAAAGCCTCTTGCTCGTGAATATGATGTTCCCGTTGGTCGTCGTACTGATAGCTGTTTATGGCGTTGCAGGAAAAGCCTCAGCCAGGCTCTGCCTGCCGTATTACCTCCAAACGGATGTTTGATATTGTTCCTGTAAGCTAAGACGTACGCCATCCTCCTAAGATCTTTTCTAGTTAATCCATAAAATTTAGCTTCCATTTCCAAAATATAACGCATTAACTCGTCCTCAAGATCATTCCCTAAGACCTAAATGCTCGCCCTAACTTTATTTGAGCAGCTTCAATTGGCTTTAGATCAATTTTTTTGCAGAACATTGCAAAGTAGAAGGGACATTAAACATTTTTGCAGCTTTTAGCGTACCCATTTCGTGCTGCCTGACAGCTATAATTGCACGTTCCATATCTCTCTCGTCCCATTTTTTTCTTTGTTTAGCTTCTTTCAGCTGTTGTTTTGACATCCTGAAACAATTGAAGTATGTTTTACATTGTTCTAAATATGGACCACTGGCCCATAATGAAAACAGGGGCATAGTCCATACTGTAAACACGCTTGCTTTGCACAACAGAAGAGGTTATGTATAAAAGTAGTCAATTTGAAGAAAACTTATTAGCATTATATCAAAGACTGATTATAGAGCTTCAACGTGACACAGCCGTTTTTTTGAAATTAGTGTTTGTTTTCAAATACTGGAATTTATCAACTTACCCGAAAAAGTTTTGACACTCACACCAACCGACAAACAATTATTATAAACTGGAAAATGTCTACCACTGTGGTGCCATCGCTACGGTGATAGTTTAACTTCGCCAAATACCGTTTGCAATAGTCATGATGTAGAGATCTGCAACGAATAGCTGTGAATCCTACCTAGCCCATATTACAAGACTAGACCATATTTGCAGCCTTTCCTCTATTTCCTTATTTTCTCATTGATTAAATTCATATTTTGTTCTTCTACTACGTCTTTTTTTATCTATTAAATCTTGTTATTGTCTGGCGGTGTGGTTACCCTAAAGCCAATAACAAAAAAATCTTGTTATATCTTTTATTCTATTGAATAATATTACGAGTTTACATGTAGTGATCTCTTGGTGTGCTCATCCATCGTTCACATTCATCTAACAAAGTAGATGAGGTTCGATACTGGAATAGTAAAAGCAAGTAGCAATTTTAAGGGTTGCGAAATCTCACTTATATTGGGTGATAAAATTAATTTTTTTTGTCTTCACTTTATTTACAATGTGTTCTAAACTACGAATCATAAATAAAATTTTTTAACGAATATTGATTAGGACATTTAGGAATTTTTTTTAATAAGAAAATATCTTCAATATTAGTTTACAAAACTACTATTGCACATATTATTCTAATCTAACTAAATCTATTGAATACATATATTGATATATCTAATAAATATATTGAAAATCTTTTCACGGACACAAGGACGATACCAACACAAATTGATAACGAGGTAGCTCCAATAATATTAAAATCTGAAGTCCAACATGCTATAAAACAACTCAAAATCTGGCAGAGCCCCTGGGTCAGATGAAGTTCATATCGAGCTGATTAAACTTACAGAATGAAGACAATTCAAGTGCAATAACTATATTCTTAACAACATACACACATCTGGTGAGATACCTACAGAATGGCTGCTATCGACCTTTGTTCCGCTACCAAAAACCAAGTGCCCCAAACACTCTAATGACTTTGGATTAATCAGCTTAATCTCATACGTATTAAAAACATTTTTAAATATTGTGCATGCAAGAATATTCAGAAAGTGCGAAGCTGATATGAGTTTGGCTTTCGTAACAGCTTCGGAACAGTGGAAGCTCTGTATAGTTTCACAACTCTTGCCTAAAAATGTCGAGACCAACAAAAAGATATTTTCGTTGCGTTTATAGACTACGAGAAAGCTTTCGACAAAGTTAAACATAACATTCTCATGGAATGTCTAAAGAGAGAAATACTGGACAATTGAAGGGGTCAGATGCAAAACCGCCTAAGTAGCAGAATACACATTTTGAGAAATGCACCTTTAAAAATTCTTTGTATTGAAAATTAAAAATTTTAAAGTATTAAACAATTCAAAACAAGTATAACATTTTAAAGATACTTCTGGTGACAATTTTTTTTTTATTTTTGTTTTACCTTTTTCGACAAAAAATGCACTTAGGTTGTTTTACCTTTAAGCAAAAATGGCTTTATAATACACAAAAAGAACTAAGCAACAGCTTAATTTTCAATTAATATTTATCTATCTATCTATTTAGAAAAATCTATGTAGTCTAACAGATGTTGTTCGTCGTTGGTATCTTCTTTGGAAAACTTAACAGCAGTGCTTCCTTTTTTCATTGTGTTTTTTTTGCCGCTTTGACTCATGCGGTAAATCATTATAAAATTGATGGTAAATGGGGGTATAAACTCTAGCAGCTGTTGTAAATTTTCCCATTTTTGATACTTACTTGTCTCGTACTTCTTTTCAATTGATCACGAGATTAAGTTTACCAATCGATCGCATTTATTATAAGTGTATAAATGAAGATGGTGGAATTTTAAATTGAATTCAGTATTGAAAATATGACGGTGATATAATTCCTCAACTGGGGGTTCATCGTTATCAGTGTAATTATTATCTTTGGAGAGACAATACATTTTACGAATAGTTAAATTAAACGAAATGTATTTCGTATTTGGATTTTGGTTATAAGAGTAATGACTCCTATAACGTGAAAATCATCTGATATGCTCAATTACTCTTTTTCTTGCGTTATCTGATACTTTATTGGTTGGGACATATTTCCTTCTTTTATCAGGCTCCACAAAATTGTCTTTGTCAACTTTTTTACACATAACCTTAAAGCAAC